TTATGTCACATATAAATATGTCAATATTATTTTTTTTCAAATCATAGATGTAGTCTTTTATGACGTTCAGATAAATTTGAGTATCAATGGAGGGTAATTTATAAGATGCTGTTATTCCAATCTCAATACCATCAATAGTCGATGAAATTTGTATTAATTTGGTTTCAGTTAGTGACATTATTTCGACATCAGCAATAATATAATCCTTGATGTACATCAATAGACCATCATTCTTATTTACCTTTGGATTGTTGTAATGTGCTGAATAACCTGGTATTGAATAATCATTTACCGACTCGAGATTCCATGTTTCCGATATAATTATTATGTCCATATGCTTATTCACCTCTTCTAGATAAATAAGGAGTTCATCGAAATTTTTGTTAATGCTTCTGATATTAAAATGAATAACGGCCAACGCACTCTTCATGTTCCCTTTTCAATCGAAAAACGCCCGAAAATCATGATATTCTTGTGTTTCAATTTCCTTCTGATTATCTAAAATATCTAAAAATTCTATCATTCTGTATTGATTACTCAAAATGAACCTGAAATATAATATTCGAGTAGAGACGTGTATGTATATAGTAATAATTGAAAAATCTAATATTATTCGAAATGAAGATAAAAAATAACCTATCAATAATGTACATAAAACAAAATGTAGTTTCTTGGTGGGCTAATGAAAATAACATTGTTCGAAATCTCCTAAGTTCCAGTTGATAAAGTGTAATTACTTATCTTATTACTTTCTATTAAGAAATTTGTGCTACTAATTATTGATTAACAGTTTGATTATTCTAAAGAAATCAAAGGGAGTGTATTATTAAGTTTCATTTATTCTTCTGCACCAAATAATTTATCAAAATCTTCATAAGACTTTGAAATACACATTTTATTATTATAATTGACAAAAATTTGTCCTTCGTAGGTCCACACGTTTTGCAATGACGTTTTTTCAATAGCTTTATAAAAAATATTCAACCTAATATTTGTTAAATCTTCCCTTACAACGAATCCGGTTCCTTTCAAAAACTTTTTCTTGTCATAAATCATTTGCTTCATCCCATGGGTTCCAAGTCTAATAAAAACTCCTCTCTCTATAGCATAATTCTATATCCGCACTACTTATCTTAATTGCCATTTTCGTATTGAAAAGTTTGATTATGCCTTCTCTCAAATTTTCTCCATCAGTTTCCTTGTAATTGAAGATTCGTAGGTTGTTTTTCTTCATGCTTTGTTCAATATTGTCAAATTTTTTGTGTATCACAGAATTTTAATTAATTATTTTTCTTGTAGTACCCTCGAGATTGTTTATTCGGTTTTCATATTGTTGTTTTACCTCTTTCATTTCCGTTTTTAGTTCGTTGGCTTTTTCTTCTAACATTGAGAGTTTTTTATCGATGGATAACGTGACCACCTCGGCTACACTATCAGTAATTGTTTTTATAAATGTCTGGTCTCTCAGGAACTTCGACATGGCATTATTTACTACTGATTTTATTTCATCAACAAGATCTCGCGTTTGAACCATTTTCTTAGATTGCACTTTTCATACTACTTCCTTTCTACAAGTACACAACTTTCCAGATTTTTTTATCCTAATTTACACACAATTTGTGATGATATTGTAGGAGCAATCGAACACACGACTATTCACAACATGCCATGTTGCCATAGCTTAGTATCATATGCATGGCGTTCCAAATGGAAGTTGATTCCCTTTGTGACTCTGTTGGCTTCTAGAGCGTTTTCCTTCTTACTGCCGTGTTTTTACAGTGGTGTTTTGGAAAACATCTCAGGTTTTGAGTTATTGTATATTGAATAAAATTGAAGTTGTGTAATTTTGCTGCTTCTGAGGAGGTAGTCTTCATGAGTCTGTTTTAAAAGTTTTCGTTGTTATGAGTCTACTTACTTCAAACTTTAATATCTCAGTATATACTCATTTTATTCAATCGAAATAAGTGCCATTTGAATCAGTGTACTTTTGCATCAAAAGTTGAATAATTCAGTCAGCATTAAAATTGGGTGCTTGGGATTCGATGAAGTCAACAAAGGCCATTTTTGCTTGGTCCTGATTGGCGAAGGTTCTACTGGTGTATGAACGGGCTGGGCTGACCCGCTACTTGATGAAAATTAATGACACTATTCATGATAATAATAACACATTTTTTACAAAAAAGTCAACAATACAAATTGAATTGTTTGTGAAAATTGTGTAATTATTGAAAAGAGGGTCATTGGTTGGCGAGAGGTCTGGGGAGTATGGAGGGTGAGGCAGAACTTCGACGCCCGGACGGGCGTTGTCGTCGAGCAGGATCGGACCTCCTCTGTTGACCAGGCAGCTGCTGACTTGATTTTTGGTACATTTCGTCGATTTTCTCACAATAGGACTCTTTTGTGATAGCTTGGCCCCTTTGCAGAATGTTATAGTGGGCTGTTTCAGCAGCGTTTTGGTTGAAAATTGCTAAAAGACATCATGTAGTAATAAGCTGAAAAGAGGAAAAAAATTAATTTTGAAAAAAATGAACAGCATCAATGTAGGGTAAAACCGGGATAGATGCCCCAGCGGGATATATGCCTCATATCCTAAAAAGCTAACTTCCCGAACTCGCGACTAAGAATTACTTCTATAAGTAGGATCCGGAGTCACCCCGTACCTCAGTTACCCAAGGACAGTTGTGTGATGTCAAAGCGTTTGGTTCGTGCGTGTATTTATCTCCGCGACGACATTTAGAAACATGTCAAAGCTACAAAGGTTAGTATTTTGCGTTGTATAATAAATTCCTTTATATTTTTTATTACGTCAATATACTGGTTCATTGAGTTTACATCTTGGTGCAGAGAGATTCTTTTTTTATAATTTATTTGAAAAAAATACTTGGGAGTCTATCCCTATCACACACGATAGTTGCCCTGGTTTTTCGAGGTATAGATGCCTTTAGGGGTACCTACACGATATGAATGGCATTTATCCTGCACTGCGGGCATCTATCCTTTTCACTATTTTCATGGTGGGACAACTTTCCATTCAGGTAGACATCTATCCTCAAAAAAATGTTCCGCGAAAAGCTAATTTTTGCAAAATCTGTATTTGATAGGTTGAAAAATAATAATAATGATTCAACATAAAGGATTCAGCTACCTGCATCATTGAAATTATTCGTATAAAATTATTATTTTTCAAATAAGGTGGTTATTTCAAAAAGTGGGTATCTATCCCAGTTTTATCCCATATAGTACAAACTCCTCCATCGATAAGTATACAACACGATACAGTAAAATAAATATTGATTGAGATATGGAACTTCGAAAAAACATGACATTAAAACGGACAAAACTCTGGAAACAACAACAGAAATAATGGTTAACATATTCTGTCAAACATTATCCGAATTCAAAACGATATATACATCTTGTGGAAAATTTTGTCTGCGTTAATTTTGTATGAACAGGTTTCTTCAAAAACTGTTCAGTTTACGAGTAATGGCAATTTTTTGTGTGAATTCGATCTTTGGCGAAGGAATAAAGTCGAAATTAGGATTGGGCACCAATGAGAAACCTACTTCTGTAATGTTTTCTTCAACAAATGATTGAGCTAACTCTTAGTTTGTTTGGAAAACGCAAAACACTGAAATCCGTTCATCATCAGGGATATGACCAAACGTTTTCAATGGGCTGACTAGCAATTGAATGAATTATTATTAATTTCCTATTTTGTCGGTTAGAATTATTTCTGAGTTTCTGAATTTTTATCGCTTCTGTGTAGTCTTAGTTAGTAGTTCTTAGTTTTTTATGGAGCAACAGGCCTCTTCAAACGCTATAACGTAGGTGCCTTTTCTGAGTATATGTTCCGCCAATGCAAATTTGTCAGTATGACTCTGGCAAACATTTTGCCACCTCTGTAATTTTGGAGAGTTCTTCTAGGTGTATCATTTATTACTGCATGTTTTGTAGTGGCGTTGTTCTGCATGCTTTGTAGTGGCGTTGTTGAGCATGTTTTGGAGAGCATCTAGATTTGCAGTTATTTGATATTGAATAAAAGTGAAGGAGTGTATAATTTCCTACAGTATGAACAGTGTGAATAAATGTCAACATTATTGCTGACTTTCTTTGAATTGAGACTTTTTCAAAATATTTATTTGATTGAAGGTGATTGACAATGTTTCATGATGAATTTTACTAGTTCGGACTTCCATTGTCTACTATATAAAATGATTTGAAATCCCTGAAACAACTAAAAAAAAGAAGAATTAAAAATGAATAGCTGAAAATAACAATTATATTAAGCAAAATAAACCTGAAATGAAATAATAGTAAAATAAAACACAAGTGAAATAGAGCAATTGAACAAAAAAATGAAAACAATGAAATAGAAAAAAAATAAAAATAAAAAGTTGAGAGATTCCAAGTCACGTTAGTTAACGACGTTTCGATTGTTAGTATCTACAATCGTCTTCGGGTGATGACTGGACCGATTCCTCCTAGAGATGACTATTTATAGGTCGTTTGAGTACTATCACTTATTCCCGCTTTCCATTTTCCGCTTCACTGGTTCCGTGGGAGATGACCGTTTGGCGGGAGTTGGCCATTTTTCGCTTGATGATGGGTTTCCATATGTTGCGTATTTTTACGCTGGCTTAGCTGAATACGTTGTTGGACAACATGTAAGCGGCTTCCTTGAATTTTCTCCTAAACCAATGTTCCTCTCTGTGCAAGATCTCAGCTTGGGACCACTCGATGTTGTGTCGATGGGTCCAAACATGGTCTGCTATTCCTGATTTGCTGGTTACCCCTCGCTGTGTGTGTTTTTTGTGCTCGGCAATGCGAACATTCAACGGCCTCTTAGTTTCACCAATATATGATTTTCTGTGCGGTTTGTTATTTTCAGCTATTCATTTTGAATTCTTCTTTTTTTAGTTGTTTCAAGGATTTCAAATCATTTTATTCAGTAGACAATGGAAGTCCGAACTAGTGAAATTCATATTTATTTGACTTAGGTCGAGGCTTGCATAGGAGGTTGCCACACGAACATGAATGTCAAAACCAACGTGGTATTAGGACATATACCAGTGAATGACATCCAGAATCAATTGATGCACGAAACCTACTACTCTCAAATATCAACTGGTGAGTATCGAAATAATTCAGTTATATTCAATTTTTTTGAAAATGGAAGGGTACTCTGGTTAGTTAGTTAACTTAATATCTGTCCAAAAGAATACAAAGTGAACTTTTTTTTTGCAGTACCTGCATTACAGCAGATTATATTCGGAATCCCGTATGTTGTAACGATTTTACGGAACTTTGAAAAAATATCGACCTGTATACAACAACATTCAAAATATATCTCGCAAATGATAATCAGAAATGGGGCGTTCATCCTCCGCATCGAACTAATAGTAAACAGTCTGGTGACCTTCAGTTACTTTTGAATTTCAACTGAAAATGCTTGAGGTGACGAAATGTGCCTGAACCACTTCAAAATCCAGTTTTACAAGATAAGGGAGTTCCATTGGGCCGAGTAGAACTTAATCGCTGGCGAATAACTTGCTACCTCCTGCCATGTTGGTGTTTGATTAATTTTCCTCCATCCGATGACTAAACCAAGATCTGGGACTTTCTCTTGGTCTTCCTTGATCTTATTGTCCTCCCAGTTGTCGTCTACAGCTATAGTTCTATGAATAGCTTCTTCTGCTCGTCGGCAATGTGAGCAGTCATCGGGGCATGGTTTCCGTGACAGGGCATCTGCGTTTTTTACGGTGGCTTGTGTGATTCAGGGTGACGATTGCCCATTCTCATCGACCCTCTCTAGTTTTCCTGATTTGGGGTTTGGTTCTTTGAATTTTTCGACATTTGCTACGCATATGCCCAATTTTCTCACAGTTCCAGCGTCTTATTTGTTTTCTTTTTTATGACATTTCTAATGGTGACCTCAATATCAGCAGGCAAGCCTGATCATCTTCCTCGATAGTTTGAACTTTGCTCTGGCTCTTGTTTTACAGCCTCAAACTCCAGAGCGCTTGCCAGTGCATCTACGAGATGTTTGGGACGAACTATTGTCAATGCCTGTCTCGTTTCTTGGTCGCGAAGTCCGTCCAAGAATGCCTAAACTGCTAACCGCTCCATTACATTTTCCGGTGTAGCAGGATATGCCAGACGAACCAATCGAGCAATGTCGGCTTCAAATTCCTGTAGAGATTCTCCTGATTTCTGGTAGCGGTTCTTCAGCTGCGAATGGTAAACGTGCTCTAGGTGGGCCTGCCCATACCGTAGCTCCATATGCTTTATGTTGTTCATAGTCTTCCTGTTCTTGGGCCGTCAGAGTTTGCAAAATATTCGTTGCTTCTCCACGCAACGCCAGTGTTAATGCTACCGCCTTTCCTCTTGTATTCCATCCATTCGCTCTGACCGCAACTTTGAATTGTCGGTGGTAATTTGCTCAAGGAGTTTTTCCTTCGAACTGGGGTGGCTTCATGGAGAGCTTTCTTATAGTCAATTTCACCGCAATACAATGATTGTCGACTAAGCGCTCACAGATTTATTTTACAAATCCACTTCTGATCACGAATTTTAATCTGATCACGAATTTTAACGAATTAAAAAATTAACTGTCTTAAACAAATTCATTTCCAACAATTTTCACTAAACACAAACTAATTTATTTATTACAACAGTTAGTAACTAACGCTTAATTTATTTCCACTATTTGAATTTCTTGTTTATCCGCTCGATTCACTTTCTGAACTGCCCTCTTGGGTCGGGAAGCCGGGCTTATATCAGTAACGGTCTTTTCTAGAAATCTGTAATCGGTTCGGTTCTAGAGTTTTACTGGCGATTCCCAACTGCATTCTTTCACGGTGATGTCATGTGTTTGTTCGCTGAGTCGGCTGGCATATCGGTCAGGGGCGGCTTCAGATTCGTTACAGTAAATTCGATTGGCGACTTTTTAAATTTTTTTTTTGGTGCACTCGTTTTGAATATATGTTCACACTTTCAGCTGTTTAGCATGTTTAGTTTATTGGTGAGAGGTATAAAAGTTAGAAGTGATTTGCATATTCGGCAATTCTCTGCTATCAATTTTGTGCTATCGAAGAAAATTTAATGAAGAATTTGCATGAAATTCAGTGTAAAAAATGGAATTAAGTGCTCAAAAACACTTGAAATGTTGATAGTGGCAATCTATGATTCAGAAAATTCTTCTGAGTCAGAAAATTGTTTACAAGTGGAACACGCTTTTCACAGAAGGTCGAGAAGATGTGAATGACGACGCTCGTCCTGGACGACTCAGCGCATCATCAACCTATGAAAATGTTGAGAAAGTGAAGAAAATTGTTATGGATAATCTCTAATCACAATTAGAGAATTTGCTAAAGATGTCGGCATATCGGTTGGTTCATGCCATGCAATTTTTTCGTAAATTTTGGACATGAAGCGTGTAGTAGCGAAGTTCGTTCCAAAATTACTGAATTTTGATGAAAAAAACCGTCGCATGAGTATTGCTCAGAAATTGTTGAATGACGTCAACGGCGTTTGAGATTTTCTTAAAATGTCAAGGTCCTGCGCACTATTTTTTTCGCTTACCGTGGCGTAGTGAAAAATAATGCACGGTATTTGCATCACGATAAGGCACCTGCCCACTCATCACTGCTTGTTCGTAATTTTTTGGTCAAGCCCAAAAAATGTAATCATGCCTCAGCACCGTATTCACCAGATTTGATCCCCTGCGACTGCCATGAAAGAACGGCGTTTTGAGACGATTGAGGAGATAAAAATCGAATCGCTGAGAGAGCTCATAACAAAAAAAACGCTGGAATAAAATAGAAAATGATGTATAAATGAATATTTTTGAGGAGAATGACAATTCACCTTATTTTTTCAATAGTTTCATCAGTTGAAAAACTTTTCGTTGTTTTTTTTTCTTCAAAATGAAATTCGTTTTCAATGTAAATATCAGATATATGTGCTAAAAAATTACTTAGGGGATCAAATCACTTCTATTGTTAATTTTCAGTTTCATCACCACAAATATACTTATCTAACAATTTTGGACCCTCGTGTCTCCTTTCAGACCAGACATCGCCCCATTCCACCATAGCCCCTCCAACTGCTGGACAAGGGCAAGGTTCTGGTTCAACGGCATTTCCAGGACAAAGTTCATCAGGAGATGGTTTTATTTTCGTAGGAAGTGAAGGTTAGGTTCAATTACCATGAACTGTTTGTTGTCAGTGTTTGAATATTGGGAGTGGGATCAACACTTTACAATCACACCTGGAAATAGTTATGAATGGTATCAAATCAAATGATCCTATTTTCAATTATCAATATACTCGCATTTTTCCTGGATATCTAATCTTTCACAAACTGATAAATGAAATATGAGAAATCTTGGTGAGTTCAAATAAATGGCAACCGATAAATTCATCAAATACTGTGTGAATCTTCTGTAAATGTGAACGGAAAAAGAATATACAAAACTGTTCAGTGAAAATCTCACAATAAAGTGTTTCTTGAATATGAAAAACATGAAAAGATTATTGAAGTTTTTTACGTGTATCATGTAATCCACGGATTTCTATAACTACGTTCGAAAAAACTTTCTCTCGCTTTTCCTTTGCTTTATCAATACAGAAACTTGAAGATATACAGTATAAGTTAGTTGCATAGGTGATCCCCAAGTTTGCGTTCCATAATTAACTTATCTACTAGCTCTGAAGAAGGGACATTGCTATCAGAAAATAATGTAAAAGTATTGGTCTTCCTTCCATAGACATCAAATTCTAGAAACTGTTTTTCTCGAATCTAAGAAAGGTACCTCCTCGTAGATTTCGATATCATATGTCAACTCAATATTCTGCGATTCCTTAATAATAATTGAAACCAGGTCCTCTTTCCTGAATTTCTTTGTCAGTTCAAATTTGCTAATGGAAGAAATAGTTATGAGGTAAGAGTGGGTTTCCCATTGCCGTCCTTGTGTAAAAACAGTTATATATCTTTCGACTACGACGCCATTTAGACTATTGACCCTCAGAAGATCCTTCAAATATTCAGTAGCTTTTGGAGAAGATACACTCTGAAACAACGAGGATACATCAAATGATACTAAAATCTCTTCAATTTGCAACTCTGTCTCTAACTTTCTCTATGAATTCTTGCGAATTAAAATCTCTCAAACTTGAATGTGAGATAGAGAAAGTTTCAAAGTTTCAGGTTAGTCATTCGGAAATTTTATAAATACGGAAATCTGAGGCACAGAGAGGCATTTGGTCGCATCGGCAGGCGAGGCTTGTGAATTTTTGATAGACCGTATATTTTTGGTACTGCATGGTTAGGAACATGTAGGCTCCTGTTTTGTCACTTTCTGAGTGAGTTTTTTACATCTGAAATTATCTTAGACAAAGACTTCCTCGGTAATTTATTGAAAGGATTTTCTTCAATTGAATTATAGGCTAGTGAATTCTTTAAACATTCTGACTGAAATTGAAAGGAAAAGTGAACTCAGTGAGCGATAAATAAATAAAGTTAGAGTTAGATAGTGTTCTCATTCAAATAATCAAGATTTACTTTTTGTATGTATCACAAATGACTCATCAAATACGAATTGAATAATTCAAAGGTTCCGTAATTCAAGAAATGTAGTCGGGGAAAATTTTTACATATATTATATGTATATATTTCAGCTGTTTA